CACGCAGTGGGGCTGGGGTCGGCGCGCCTGGGCGGCGGTCGGCGCCGGCCGGGGTCCCCTTCTCTCCTGCCGGCCTCGAGGAGCAGGCACCTCCCCACCCCCCGGGATCAGAGGTGACCACCCGCCCCAAGACTGGTTCACAATGACGTGACATCCAGGATTGGTGTTGCCTCTTCACAGATTCCAAGAGGACTGAACTAAGCTCAAAAACGCAGAATAGGAAACACCCAATCCTGCCTGTTACTTATGGCTTTCCGGTCAAGTCCAGTAACTCGTTTTCTCTGACACTGCGTTTCTGGACCTAGGGAGCAGGGACGCTGCGCCAGCCTCCCTAACTCCCGGGCGCCACGCCCTCGTCGGTGTGCCAGGTGTCTGTGGTTCCGCCCCACCTGTCCTCCGTCCACCAGGCACAGGCTCGCTGCAGACATCCTAGCAATAGCGATCCAGAAGCTTTGTGGTCTGTTTGCAGTTCTTCTAATGGATGCCTTTATGGCTTTTATTTACATTCCTTGTCACCATTTTCAATGCTCTTCATCCTTGTGTAGGTCCACATTTCCATCTGGTGTGAGGCACCGCTGAAGCCCTTCCTTTACGGAAGCTTAGCGCAGAGCAGCTGGCAGTGAGGGCTCTCACCTTTTATTTGTCTGACAGTCTTTCTTGCACCTTCATATTAGAAAGATAATTTCACAGACTGTAGAATTCTGGGCTATTTTTTTTTTCTTTCAGTACTTTAAAGATTTCACTCCATTGGCTTCTGGATTAGAGTTTCTGAAGAGAAGTCTGCTTTAGTCTTATCTTTTTGTTCTGTCTGTAGTGTGTCTCACTGCCTTCAAGACTTTCTTTTTATCATTGGTTCTCCTAAGTTTGCCTGTGATGTTTCCAGGTGTGGACTCTTTTTTACTTAAAATTTATACTTGATTGACATACAGTGAAATCCACCTATTTGAAATGTGCAGGCTGATGCACTTGAGTAATTATACACAATATGTTACTACCACCACAATCAAGACATAGATTATTCCTGTGCCCTAAAACATTTTCTCCTGTTCGCTTGCAGTCCACCTCCTCCCCCACCCCAGCCCCAGGCAACCACTGACCTGGTTTCTGTGATTAGTGATGTCGAGCATCTTTTCATGTACTTATTGGATGTGCATATATATTTGGAGAAGGTAGCCCACAAAGCGTCGGTAGGCACTTACTGAATCACTGCTGTGTGCTGAGTACTATCGAGGTGCTGGGGATTTCGTCCTAGTGAGCGACTTCCTGTCTGTCCAGTGTCGTCCGCTGCTCCTGGGAGCACCACCCTCCCTGCTGCTGACGTGGCCGGGACCCTGTGAGCCTCGGCCAGCTAGGCAGAGGCCAGGCGAACGGCCAGGCCTCAGTCTCCCTCCAGCAATGCCAGCCTCACTCTCCACACTTCACCAGGCAGGTGTGCTGGCCTGGTCAGACCTTAGTGGGGATGGGAAGAAGCCCGAGAGAATGACTTCCCACGAGGGAAGGAGTTTGAGAGCGCTGCCTGTATAGAGCTGTCCCACGGCCTATGGGAAAGAGCCCACGCAAGACCCTCAGAGAGAGCCCGTGCTGGGTGGCCCTCACTTATCAACCCTGCTTCACAGCCTCCAGGTGCCGCCCCTCGGAGGGGCACC